GAGGGGTCAGTATTTTAAATGTGATTGATTTCCTCTGAGGAAATGAATGACATGATACATTACTGCAATATGATACCTACATTTTTGTTATAAATCATACTCTTCAATTCCTGTTTTCCCACCTAAAAATCATGTACATTTTTCTTGTGCAAACATCATGGTCAGTTTCTAAAAAGACTGTATATATATATACACATACATACATATATCATTTTAGCGTATTTTCCCATTGTTTTTCTTAAATAAAAAATGAGGCAAGAAAATTTGATTATGTACTCTGTACATCCATAGTAGGTAACAGACTGATCTCTGAAATTATTTCGAGAAATGGTGATAAAGGTATACTTTCAATTGGTACTCTATAATTAGAATTGGCTTATGTTCAATTACTCCTTATATCACTCCCCACACTTTCATCTTCTGAAAAATAGTTAAGGAGACAGATGTATAAAAGAGTTGTATGTAACTTTTTTCTTCACGTTTTATACATTTAATAGAAAATTCTAATTTTTCCACTTCTGCTTGGATAAATCAGAGAGCCCTTGATAAGTGTGCAATGAACTCATCTGCTTTGAGATCATTCTCCTGTTATCACTGTGCTTTCCAGTAAGTTTATCATACTAAAATACCCTGTTAGATTCCTATTTTTATGATTATATATATTATCTATTCTATACATACATAAATTTTTTATTTGACAGCAAGAAACTTCTGATAAATAGTGTCTATTTTCATTGAAGTATCACATTCACAAAAATATGTATAAGATTAATATTTGGTTGTAGAGTGCTTGGTTGTAGAATATACTGTTTTCAAAAGTTAAAATTCTGAATACTATGCAGGCTGCCTACTTAATGTAAATATGAATTATTTATGATAAGGTAAATGAGTATATAGCCATGGAGAACATAAAGTATATTTGAGCACCGTAACTGTCAGAAGACAAAAGTGGATACTAGTCTTGTCTTTGACAAAATAGCACAATCAAGAAGTTTTCCTTACTTGCCTCTCAAATATTCTTCCACTCCTGAAGACCACTTGTGAGGGCCACCTTTTGTCCACAATATGAGGCTAGGCAATATTTGTTTGCTCCCTTTCTAACTGTTCTTTGCAAATGCCAATGAGGATCCACACCAATCCTGTATACTCTTGAGGAAACATCATTAATATATCTACTCTCTTGTATATGTTTGCATTTAAAACCTTTTATGTCTTATTGTGGATAAAAGATTGCCTTTTGTTAAAGAAAAGTAATGTGATAACTAGGTGAGGACGATTAAAGGAAGAGAAACTTTTTTGTATGGGATACAGTGTTAGAGCCATTCCTGACCAGAAAAATACTTTAGACTTTCTTCAATTTTTGGAGTCAGAAAATAAAAAAAAAAGAGATTATGGCTGGAATTATTATTTTTCCTTTATCTTTTTTAACACCCCTGATATTTGTAGATATCAAAGAATTAGAACCATTTCCTGTGCCTACAGTTTGGTATCTTGTTTTTTCCCCTTTAACGTTATAATCATACAGCCAGGGGACTCAGAGCTTCCTATGCTTCAAAGTGGCTCCAAAACATCTCATAAAGACCAGGCATCAGAGGCAAGAAATACAGTTTAGCTGCTCAAGGAAAACAATGGGAGATGGCTGGTATGATGGTCTTTCCCAATCACATATGATTACATAAAAACCTACACTTGTTATGATTGTGATGTTCATTTTGTGCCCAGTCAATATGCTACTAAAGTGATGTGGTGCTAAAGCCATTCCTTTGGGGGAGCCAGATAATGGAAGAGAGCAAGAGCCCTATTTGTTAGGGTATGGGAGCCTGGGTATGTGAGCTTTTACATAAATGCATGATCTTCGTGATAATGATTGGAATGCTATATGATGTTAAGGGAAGCATTAAAGGAGGAAAAAACTAAATTAAAACTAAAACCATGCTTTGGTTATGTAAAAGCAATACTAATGAAAATAAATTATGTGAACTGCTTTACATTTATGCCTAATTACCATGCAGCACAATAATGATCATATCATTACTTTTGTTAGATTAACTTTGCTATAAATTTAATTATAGATGGAAATTCTAAATACACAGCCCTTGTAATTTAGTATTTTTAAACAATTATGTACTGACCCCCTTCTATATTTGACAACAAAATATACGATGGGAATAAAAATCATCAGACAACCCCTGCTTCCCTGGGGCTTACAGTCAGGTTGAGGAGAGAGACAAGTACTGGTCAAATATCAAGCACAGGAACTGATGATACATTTTTTAAAGCAATAGGAAATGCACTGGCCCCAGAAATAAGACACTCACTGTTAAAGTGAGCTTGAGGAGCTCCTCACAATATGGAGGAGTTGGAACACAATAATGCAAGAAGAATCCCAAGACAATAAGGCTAGTGAAATAAAAAGGAACCATATCCTCAAAAGGCTTAAATATCATACTAAGGAATTTGACCTCTTAATGGCAATAGGGAACCACTGAAGGATTTCAAAAAAGAAAATAACAAGATCAGATTTACATTTCAGATCAGATGTGGCTTTACTTAGGGGAGTGAAGTACAGCTGATACCTGGAGATGCTCAGGGCAGTTAGGAGCCAGTTGCAATGACTTAGGTGACAGATGCCGGTGGTTTAGACTAGGTTATTAAAAATTAAGAGAACTGGATGGGCTTGGGACACATGTAACAGGTAAAACTGAAATGTCTTAGTGATAGATTGTGTATGAGTAAGGGGAGATGAAAATGAACTTCTAACTTAGACGAATACACAATGGTACGCACAGCAATTACTGAGATGCAGAAGACAGGAGAGGCAGGTTGGTGGGGTTTCCATCCGATTTTTGTTTTGTCGATGGGGGGTACAGGAGAGCATTGGAAATTATGAGTTCTCTCTTGACAACAGTTATAACTGAGTTTTATGTGTCTGAGCGGCTTCCAAATGGAGATCTCTGATAAGCAATTGAATATATAGGTCTGAGACAGAAGGGAAAGATCTGAGCTTAGACCCATATTTGGGAGACAGCATTTTATACCAGATGAAGTAATCAGATAAATAGAAAAGAGAGAGAACATCAGTAGCCTAAAGAAACACAAAATTTATGGAATGAACTAATTATCTGCAAAAAAAAATAAGTAGAAAAAAAAAACAGCATTATGATCACAAAAATCAAGGGAAGACTATTTTTAAAAGGAAACAAGTAGTCAACAGTCAAGTGCAAGAGGAAGTAAAGATTGGTACAGCCTTTTTAGAGAACAGTTCAATGTATCTGCCAAAATGTCTGATCCTCAATTTCACTTCAAGGAAAATGTTAGTATGTGTATCCAATAAGACAATTTAAAGGATAGTTTGAAAAAGTGAAAAAACAATAAGTACACAAAGTAGATAATAGTGTATGATAAACTGAGCTTACTGAATATTTCACAGTTGAAGAGATACAAGGAAAAGACTTTAAGAAATAGTAAGTACAAAAAAAAGGCCAAGTTTCAGAACAATACACATACAGTGACAGCAGCTACTTTTTAATGTTTTTCCCAAGGGGTGTGTGTGTGTGTGTGTGTATGTAGTTGTAAGAAAAGCTATAGAAAAAATTAAAAGACTATACATCAAACTTAGGTGTAATAGTTAACCCTGTGAACAAAGCTGTCATTTGATTCTTTCTTTGGCCAGTAAAAGGGGGGCTTTTACTGCACTTGTATTATCTGACTATATCACAATGAATTGTTACAAAGTGGGAAGAAAGCAGTAGCAAGAATATAAAACATAGAAAGCTTAGTAATGAACAGGAAGAAAAAGAAGTAAAGAAAGAATTGTTTATTATAGACAGAAGAAAAAGAATATTCTCAGAAAGTCTAACTGCCTACTCAAAACTTAAAAAAAGTTGAGGTCATAATGCTAATAAGCCATCATAAGATTCATTGTCTGTTGTGAGGTGTGAGGTCTAACAATTTTAAGGCCCAGAGTAGCAGAAATAATTAACTAAGAAGGCAGATCAAGAAAGTTTAGGTAAGAAAAGGTGTAGGGCAGAAGGTATGCAACAACCCAAGCGACAGAAGGGAAAGTTAATGAGAATCTTCAAAATATCTTAGGATTATACCATATGAAAGGCTGACACTGGAGGCATACAGTCTGCCAATATGAACTATTTAGAAGAATCCTCTGGTAGACACTACCAAGTCACCATAACAAGTTAACACATCATCTGATACAAGAAGAAGACCACCTATTAGTATTGGTTGTAACGCTTAAGCAATGGCAGATGTTTTTAGTGTGTATCAATCAGAAGTAAGAAGTAAAGCACACTGTCAGCAGTGCACAGAAACTGTTACTCGTTCTCCTTCCATATGTAAGAAGTAGTGAGTGATAACACATCATTTAACTATACTTTAAATATTCCAGAGAATCTGTATTCAGCTTTAAACAATAGGGATTACTTGGGAGTAGAGTGTAAGTAGAAATCTTTTTTGAAACCAGGGCAGTCCCAGAAAGTTTCTGTTAGGAAGGAAACCTAGAATCTTTAGGTGGTCACGTCCTTCTAGAACATTCTTAGAGGGGAGATAGGTACTAACCATTTACTATAACTTCCTAGGAGGCTGATTCATCCACAACAATGTGTTCATTGCAAAAAAAAAAAAAGCATTCTGATCCAAAGCTACATTCTGGTTCAAATTCTGGTGAAAGAACAGGGTGATAAACCCTAAACTTGGGATGGTCCCAGTAAGAAACCAACTATAAACCACAGTAAAATAATTTGTGTCCTTTACAAGGCAATCCACGGTAACACTGTATTTTGCTGACAGGGCAGGGGCAGAAGTAATGTTACAGCATGAGAGCTAAAAGGGAAGAGATTAAGAATTTTCTGGGTGCAGACTTAGAGGAATAACTACTGACAAACACAGGAAACCCTCCACTCGGGGGCTTCCCTGTGCCATGTTTCGTCATGCCTGTTTAAATTATACTAGAAACTGAAATAAATGTTTGTGTTCGTAGTCCTTACCTTAAGAGTTCTATCTGTAGAACAGGCAACTTCCACCTTTGGCTCATCCTACAGGCTGCTTTCTCAGAATCAGAAGAGAACAACCAACTTCGATCATTTGAACATGGGGCATCAACTAACACCTGGAGAGAATGAGGACACAAAATACAAATATGTCGTGAAAATATATCCTCAGACACAAAGTATATACAGAAGCTATGTAAAACACAACCAAAAATAGCAAAAATATTTCTTTTAAAGCCAAAAATACACCATGGTAAATTATTCTTTCTGACATTTCTTTACTAATATTTTAAAGCAAAATTTACTGTGTACTTCCAGTTTTTGAATTTGGTGGTGGGGGCTGGGGAGTGAGAATAAAAGGGCTAAAAGTCTACCAATGTCTAATAATATTTCATATTCTTGACAACTACAGCAAAGCATTTTACAAAAGTGACTCATTTTAAACAGATATTATTATATTTCTGAATTATCAGCATATATTTTTAAGACATTCGTATTTCAATTTCAGTTTACTGAAATGTTCTCTTTTTCTTCAACTATCATACTCTGATATGAAATGTTACTGAATTAGAGTAATACAATGCACATGTTTGTGTTGGGAACCACCCTGCCTGGTTTCAGGAGTTTATCTCCTGGAACCAGGAGATAAGTAAACCCCTTTATGGCTAAGGCTGAGTGAGCCCCTCTGGACCCTAAGGAACTAAGGAGACGAAGCTCATCTCCCTGGCACGAGCGCTGCTTCTGCTTTTTTCATAACCCGCCCCCAATGCTTGATCTGTTAGCCAATGACGGGTAAGATTCCCTAAGACTGGAATGAGCTAAGACAGGCAAGATCACGTGGAGGCCCCAGGGAAGGACTTGGGCGGGCTATGGAGAAAGGGAGTGATGGACCCTCACCCCTCGGCTTTGACGAAGAAGCCTGAGTCCTCATTTCTCCTGATTCCTTAGCTATCTTACTTCCTCTACCTGACTTAATCCTGAAACAATGACAGAGGGCGGTACAGACCTGTGCTTGAAAGGGTGAGCTCCCAGGGTACTCAGGCCTGAGAAAGGATATATAAAATCCTATGAAACCTGCTTTGCTAAGAATGCACTTAGTTCAATGATACAGGCCCGAGCAGGAAATGAATTTGTTTCCCAAAGTTTTGTAGCCCTTTAGCTAATAGACCCTGACTCAGAATAGGCCCTCAGTGGTTCTTTGTCTGCTGTCTATTGTTTGATCCTTAAACTGCCTGACAGTGATTCATGAACTTTACCTGTATTCTTGTGCTAAATGAATCCAATAAAAGCCTGTCTAGGCAAGGGTTGGGGCCTAGAGAGTGCCCAGACCCTTGCCTAGACAAGGGTCTCTCCCCTTGAGAGAGTGGCCAGGCCACCCCTTTTCCTCCACAGAACTCGGTAGTCCGTGTGAATTTGTCTCAAATCTCATCCATGACACCACGGGCACTGCAGGCCAGTATCTGCATCATGTTTGTATACTGATAACATGTGATCTTTTCCTAAGTATCTTTGAAGTCCCTGGAAATAAAATAATTCTATAATCTCCAATCCCAATGTTGCTGCTTCCTTTGACCATGCTGACTGACCAACAAATGAAAACTGCTTCCACATTCACTTTACTAAAATTTCCCAGGGTACTGAAAAATTATTAACAGGCTCTGTCTGGAGTCAGATGGAAAACAACAAAAAAAGCAACATAACAGCAGTATCACTGGGAGTCCATGAGTTTGTCACAATGTAATAGAAATACCTTGTCAAATGTTTCAGGCTGGGCATCTCCCATTTCTCTGCCATCCATTTCAGACACTTTAATTACATTTATCAAAGGCCGTGGAATGAAAGATTCTAATGTCTGCCTCAGCCACCTCAATCTCAGACTATCATATTCATTACAATGAAGATAACCTAAAGATAAAGAATTAAAAAGTTTTAAAATTAATACAATAAAATTGTTAAATTTCTATTTTTGATTGAATAAACTTCAGAAAGAAATATAATTATGTAAAAATAGGGCTCAGAGGTAAATATGATTCTTATCTTTAAAAAATATAAACACATACTACACAAAACATTATAGTTTTGCATATATACCATACTCTGCCATGCATAATGTGTTCCCGTGTATGATGCACACCCATGTTTGTGTGTGTATTATACATGGGATTATTATGTCCACAGTGTGTAATCATTATCCCTATGTATAATGGATGTCCTTATTTTTCCCTAAAAAAATTAGGCAAAAAAATGCACATCGTACATGGCAAAATATGGTAGCTTGTCAGAAGCTCTCAATATTTACTCAGTCAAATTTAATTTTGGAGGTGAAAATTTGTAATATACAATGAATACCTCAGTTCCCCCCTAAAGCTCTTAAGGGTAAATGACATAATCTATTAAATATGTTGAGCTCCATCCAAGACAGAATACCTTCATTTTAAATAAAGGAAGATATGCAGTATGCAGAAAAAAGCACGTAAAGTGCAATTAGCACTGTGGTTAGAAAGACATGGGCTCAGATTATGAGCTGTTAGACTTTGGTGGGTACCATACACAGCATGGTCATGCTAAACACATAGTCATGCTAAACACCTGGGGCAGGATGGGGAAAGATAATGCACGTGCTGTGATGTACACATTACATGGTGTGCTACATGGTGTGCCTCGTGCAAGAGAGCACACGATTTAGAACTTAATGTTTCTTTCTAGAATTTTCCATTTAATATTTTCAGACCATGGTTGACCACGGGTAACTGAAAGCACAGAGAAAATGTGGAGAAGGGGAAACTACTTTACAGAAGGCAAAGCAGTTCTTAGCAAATAGTTCTGTCCCTAATAAAAGATGTTTTGATTTTTCTTTATTTGAATATATATTTATTATACTATAAATTATATAACATAGTTATACTACATTTAAATACAAGCACATTTCCTAAAAACTAATTAAAGTATAAAGGAAATATAAAAAAACACTGGAAACTGTCTTCATATACCTTCCATTTAACATTTTGATAAATGACTATACTGTAGCTCTTCATTATATACCAGCAGATAAAATTTACATGAATGGAATCATGTATTTGTGATGTCATTTTTTTCACCTCATTCTTTATCTACCCTGTGCACCAACTGCCCAACTCCTCCATCAAAAGCAACCTATACAATTATTTATATACTCAGGATTATATTTACACACTTCTCTGCCCAGTTACTCTCCACATATGCCAACACTTTAAAGAAATTACCATCAAGTCAATTGGTAGAGACAGAATTTTTAAAGGCTGCTAAGCTGTGCATGGAATAACCTGTCATCTTATTCAACTATTACCAACAGTTGGACATTCACACTGTTGTCGGTAGTATCATCCAATAAATATATTGGATGAAATATATATTTTCATAATGTGCTTTTACTATTAGGGGATAGTACCAGAGGAATGGATAGGTTTGGGTAGAGAAGTGATTAGTTTTAGTAAATACTACCATGTCCTTCCACTAAACTCCCAAAAGTGTTATTATTAGTCTGATGTGGAATGTGATGCTGTATTATAACCCTTGATCTCAACAACTGAACATCTTTTCATTTGCCTATTCACCATTTGGTTTTGCTTTTCTGTCTAGTGCCTACTCTCATCTTTTGCCCTTTTTTTAATTGCACTCTTTATATTTTTCTTATTAACAAGTAAGACATATATTATGGATATTAATCCTTTATCTGCCATCTGATTTGTAAATGTTTCCTAAATTGTCTTCTGAATTTATTTGGAGTATCTTTTTTAATATACAAGTTTCTTAGTTTTTTAGTAGTCAGTCATATCACTGTTATAATTTCTAGCTTTAGGGTCTTATTTAAGGTGGTCTTTTCACTATTAGATTTTCATTTCATTAAATAAACATTCAAGCAGATCACAACTGTCATCAGCCTACACAGCTTAACCAACAGGGCAGGGTGAGACATTCCTCTTTCACGGAAGGCCTTGTGATGGTTACACAAATGGTAATTCAGGTTCAAGAAGATAATATTGGACAGGTGAAGGAGCTGTCCTAACTTATCTGCCTCACATCCCACAGGTGCCAACACTTCACACCAACACCTCTTCTAACAACTCCATAGGCACGGTTTCCAGGGTCCCCACAACAGACAAGCTCAATTACAAGAATCACTGCACTCAGAAGAGTTCAAAGTACGGCAAACCCCTCCAGGGTTTATTTATTCTTTCTCCCAGTGCACATGCATTTTACCAATTAGGGTCATTTTTATCATCACTTTTATCATAAGCAATGTTGCCTGGTAACACAGTGATAATCTCTGTCTGGTTACCAGGGAAACAAAGCAAGAGAACTAAAGGCAAAATTCTAACATAGAGGGGTAAAATTTTTGTAAACACTTTGCTCAGGTATATATATGTATGTACAAACGTGTATGTGTGTGTATACATCTTTATATATCTATACATGTGTTGATTTCTTCTGATTGTTGCTCCACTGTTAAAACCTTTCAATTGACTTCCCATCATCCACTATATAAAATTCAAACACCTAGCTTTTAATTCTAGGTCTGTAATAGTAAAACCTTAACACAACCTTTCAATTTGAACATCTCACTATTTCACCAACATACTCTGTGTTCCATCAAACTTGACCAAGTAGTCCATTTCTCAAACATATTTTGTACCTCTACTGTAGACTTACCATTTTCTTAGATGAGAGGTATCCATATGTGCTGCTTTTCTACTATCAGGACTCCAAATTTCTACATGGCAAGAGCTCATGAGATGGCATCAATTTTGTTTGAAAGGGAGGAAGCAGAAAATAAACTTAAAACTGCATTTGCACAGGTAGAAAAATTTCTATTGTGTAGTTTACATGTTTATTTTGGATAGTTTTTGGAGGATTCACTAATGCAGCTTATGGATAGGTATCTAAAAGTTCTCATCTCAGCCTGGCATCACTAGAACACAATCTAAGACAAATCTTTATGTTACCAAAAGGGTACAATCTCAGGAAAGCATGAGTGAAAGAAAAAAGACAAAGGAAGTGAATCATTCAAGGAGGGAGCACTAATATAAGAGGGTTTTTAATCAAACTTTGCTTATTCTCTCAAGATAGGTCTATAGCTTGAAATTACTGATCTTGGAAGAAACTGTGCGGTTTAGTGGAGTAGCAAGAAAAAACAATCTGCTGATTTCTTCCTCTCTCCTGCCTTTCATTGGTTAATTGTCCCTTCCAAGTGTTGATAACTCCCACACACTGGGTTTGTGCTACCAGGCCCTCCCAGGCAAATGCTAAGGAAGCCAGAGCTTCCCCAAAGTGAGGTATAGCAAGCTCTCGGGCTGGTAACCTCTGCTTGTCAGCTGGCACACATTAGCAGCGCCTCAGTTCATGGCAGTGGTACCACAGCAGCAGACACCTGCAGGTAGTGTTTCTCCAGTCTGGAGACAATCCAAATCAGCTTATTTTGAGATGAAGGGTGGAAAGAAATGTAAGGCCATACAAATCTGTGTGGTTCATAAACTGGAGCCAAGACAGCCCTCTGAAGTTATTCCTTTTCTCTACCACTGCTTACCAGATACTGAGGGTGGAGAAGAAAGCATGCCTTAATTATCTTCAATTTCATTTCTCCCTTTTTTGGTTTAAATATTTTACATTCTATTCCTATTTTCCTAGTAGTAACTCTGAAGACTTTAACATGGATATGTAAAGAATAAAATCTAAATTAAGTCAGTCTTCACCATTTTCCTAAAGGATACAAGTATCTTATAATAATTCCAAAATAAGATACTATTGTTATTATATGAGGTCCGTCCAGAAAAAGTCCAGCTATTGTTAATATAATGAGAATGGTTTGGGTGACATAGATGTAATCTGGCAGCCAAGGAGAGTGGATTGGAATGTGCATGGGTGAACAATGACAACTTCACTGTACTAGTCAGTGGGGGTGTGGTAGACACCACTGAGTGAACATGTGTACTGTGTGGCCTTTACATTCAGAATGACTGAGTGAGTAGAGCAATGAATCTGTATCAGATTTTGAACATTCCTCTGCAGAAACTGTTTGGATGATTCAGAAGGCTGCGGCTATGGGCATCTGGTGATTGGCAGCTCCATCACGACAACGTACCTGCTCATGCATCACACCTCGTGTAGAATTTTTGGGTGAAATCACCCAATCAAATCACCCCCTACAGTCCAGATTTGATACTCTGCTACTTCTGGCTTTTCCCAAAAGTAAAATCACCTTTGAAAGGGATGAGATTTCAAACCGTTCATGAGATTCAGGAAAATACAAGGGGGCAGCTCATGGCAACTGGGAGAACTGTGTGAGGTCCCAAGGTGTCTACCGTGAAGGGGACTGGGGCATCATCGTCCTATGTATGATGTTTCTTGTACATTGTATCTTCTTCAATAATGTCTCTATTTTTCATATTACATGGGTGGATACCTTCTGGACAGACCTCATATATGTGGGTTTTACTTGGGCTTACATTTTTTAAATGCACAAAACACTAATATCATTGGCTTCTACAGTCAATGCCTGTTAGATTTTCCCACCTTCTTTGCTCTTTCCACCTTCTTTGCTCTTTACTTTTTGGTGTCTTCTATCTTCCAACTGAGACAGAGCTTCCTTTTTCCTGGAACACATCCTTCAGAATTGCTGGTGGCAAACTCTGACATGCTCTCTCTTTATGTAAAAGAAAACTTTTGCTTTTCCCAGATATTTAGTTGACTATATTTTGGGATTTGCAGTTATCTTTTCTTAACCCACTGACAATATCATTCCTCTAAATGCTGGTTTCCATCATTATACTCAACTATGAACTCTTAGTCTGTTGTTCCTTTGAAGATTAAATGTCTTCTCTGGCTGCAATTAAGGTCTTTTTATTTTCAGTGTTCTGCAACTTCACTAT